ACCTGAACATCAGCAGGAGAGGACTCTTTAAAGTAGAGACACTACATACTGATATACACCTGAACATCAGCAGGAGAGGACTCTTTAAAGTAGAGACACTACATACTGATTTACACCTGAACATCAGCAGGAGAGGACTCTTTAAAGTAGAGACACTACATACTGATATACACCTGAACATCAGCAGGAGAGGACTCTTTAAAGTAGAGACACTACATACTGATATACACCTGAACATCAGCAGGAGAGGACTCTTTAAAGTAGAGACACTACATACTGATATACACCTGAACATCAGCAGGAGAGGACTCTTTAAAGTAGAGACACTATATACTGATATACACCTGAACATCAGCAGGAGAGGACTCTTTAAAGTAGAGACACAACATACTGATATACACCTGAACATCAGCAGGAGAGGACTCTTTAAAGTAGAGACACTACATACTGATTTACACCTGAACATCAGCAGGAGAGGACTCTTTAAAGTAGAGACACTACATACTGATATACACCTGAACATCAGCAGGAGAGGACTCTTTAAAGTAGAGACACTACATACTGATATACACCTGAACATCAGCAGGAGAGGACTCTTTAAAGTAGAGACACTACATACTGATATACACCTGAACATCAGCAGGAGAGGACTCTTTAAAGTAGAGACACTACATACTGATATACACCTGAACATCAGCAGGAGAGGACTCTTTAAAGTAGAGACACAACATACTGATATACACCTGAACATCAGCAGGAGAGGACTCTTTAAAGTAGAGACACTACATACTGATATACACCTGAACATCAGCAGGAGAGGACTCTTTAAAGTAGAGACACTACATACTGATATACACCTGAACATCAGCAGGAGAGGACTCTTTAAAGTAGAGACACTACATACTGATATACACCTGAACATCAGCAGGAGAGGACTCTTTAAAGTAGAGACACTACATACTGATATACACCTGAACATCAGCAGGAGAGGACTCTTTAAAGTAGAGACACTACATACTGATATACACCTGAACATCAGCAGGAGAGGACTCTTTAAAGTAGAGACACAACATACTGATATACACCTGAACATCAGCAGGAGAGGACTCTTTAAAGTAGAGACACTACATACTGATTTACACCTGAACATCAGCAGGAGAGGACTCTTTAAAGTAGAGACACTACATACTGATATACACCTGAACATCAGCAGGAGAGGACTCTTTAAAGTAGAGACACTACATACTGATTTACACCTGAACATCAGCAGGAGAGGACTCTTTAAAGTAGAGACACTAGATACACATTTTTTTCACGAGAAGTTTAGGGCCTCATTTTCTAGTATAGATCTTTTTAGATGAATAACTGTGTGTCTTTCTTTCTTCTCTCTTCTTGTAAGCTGGATTCCAAAGCACAAGATGAACTGAAAGAAGGTATGATGATTTATAAATCAGAGCCTGGACTGAAGAAATCCTGGGATAATGTCCAGAAAATGGTGAGTAAAGCAGACACTCATGACTTCTCATGTTGCGAGACTATAGGACAGGCTGCATACAACATTGACTGATGTCACTGGAGAATCTGTCACAGCGCCCAGCCTTAAGGGAGAACTATGCTTCTAACACAGTGCAGGAGTACATTTTAAAATAAGAGCAGGCGTCTGCCTTCAGCTCCTTTTCACTGCAAGCTCACTGTAGTGACTCTAGATGTATATAACATGTGTATTTAAACAATACATGTGTGAGGAAGCTCCCTTTGGTCACATTTCCACAGGCTGTCCGCTGTGATGTGGTGATCACAGCTCTGACTGTGTGTAGCCTGGACCTGCTGGATGTTTAACTTACCAGTGAAATAATTGGGATTGTAGAGAAGGGATGTCACCTGAGTACTGACAATATGTTAATATGAGCTATGTGGTTGAGAGGTATATTTTGATATTCTGACCCTACTCTCTCCTCTCGCAGTTCAAATGCTGTGGAGTCACCGACAAAACAGACTGGTATGATGTGCTAAATGGAACGCTGCCCACCTCCTGCTGCTCTGTGGGGATAGAGCAGTGTGTGGACGGGTGGACTGAGGTGGGTCTCTGCTCAGCTGCAGTTTATGGGGGGGGGGGTCTTACAGTAACTTCACTCACTTCTGTTTCCCCTGAATAACCTGTCCCTATAATTTGTGTCCACTTTAATTGTCTTCTCCATGATGGTATGTTTGTGTTTTTATCATGTTCTGTTGCTTTTACCTCTTAGAATATTTAAAGTGGACCTATCATGCTATATTTAAATGATATATTGTAGGGCCATACCTATATAAGGTATATTTATACATTTCTGTTTTCAAAATACCAAACAGATCATGCATTTTAGCCATGCCTCATTTCGCTCTATGTGCTGTTTGCTGTCTACGGGTCTGATTCTGCTGACCACGCCCCCCTGCAGGAGAGGGGAGACGTGCTCTGATCAGCTGCTGGGCTGTCAGAAGAGGGGGAGAAAAAGAGATCTCTGTGCTCCGTGTTTTATTATATAGAGTCGTTATTCATTTGTTTTAAAGCTCAATAAATAACAAAGAAGACCTTTGACCGGCACTTTTCTAATTTTGTCCGGAAGATTTAAACTTGAATGGACATCTTGTCCGGCGAAAGAAACTGAAACTCTGCCGTACGGTCCCCTCGTTCCTTGGAAGAGGCGGAGAGGTGGGTGTTTGTCATCTGCTGGTGGACTAACCGGAGAGAATTACAGTGCTTGCCTCGACGGGGAGGGATTGCATTGAGCAATCCCTCCCCGTCGAGGCAAGCGTTCAGGTTTGAACGTTTGATCTGAGGGATTTCTCTGCATGCAGCAGGCTGCATGCAGCAGGCTGCGTGCAGCTTCGCGACTTACAGTCGGAGCTACGGGTTGTTAACACGTCCTCCAGGAGCTGTGGCCCGGCTGTGCGCTGTGCAGAGCCTCGACGGACAGGTTTGTGTCAACTTGTTGTTGGTGATGGTTGTGTCCCCGCACCCTCTCCCAGCTAAGTTGTCCTGATTGCTGTCTTGTTTATTGTTTGGCTTAGACTTTCTGGTGACGACAGTGTTCCCGCTTCCTCTCCCATAAAGTTGCCCTTATTATGCTCTTTTGAAAGTTCTGCTTGTGGCGTTGTGCCCGAGCTATCATTAGCATTTTAGTTCCCAGCTTTAGCTGCGTCTCTCGTTCAATTTAGTATGGAAAGCCCAGGGTGCCATATTTTGCCCGTTTTTTGTTTAGGTGCAGAGAGTAAGGTAAGTACTGGCCATAGTTACTACTGTAACTACGGTCCTAGGCCATGTAAGCACTGGCCATGGTTACTACTGTAACTACTATGCGGGCTGTTCTATTCCTTAGAAACTAATGATCTGGTCTTAACATTTGTGTTTTGACTTGGTCTCGCTTGATTGTTAGCAGCAGCCGCTTGGCTAACACCTTGCATGTACTGTTAAGCTTCATTATTTAACTCAGCCGGTGAGGGCAGTGCTCTCGCTCCCGCTCCCGGTAACGTATGGTTTTGATTGCAGTAGCGCTATATTGTTGTATTTACTGCTCCTAGTACTAGACTCCTAGCACTATGTAGGAGCCAAAACGTTGATTTATTATTTTTATTATTTAATCATTTAATGTATGTAATGGAGTATAATTGTTTGGTGTAATTTGATTGGGATCCGCAGCCACGGTTGGGCGGAGCGGCTGATTGGTGCTGCGATTGCCTCAGCTGGTTAAAAGAGTCCTGCTGATTACACTCTGGGTGCTATTTTGGTTGTGAAGCCACACGGTTTTTTGACCGCTGCATTGCACTGCAGAGAAGATGTGATTTGTTTATTTAAGTGAAGAAAACTGTTTCAATATCGTCTGGTAAGATACCTTCATTTGTGTTTGAAGAGAACGAACATGGAAATAAATGTACCAAAAACGAACAATATATCTCTGAGTGATGTGTGAGCGCGTCGGCCAGGCGCTAAAACCAAAGAGCAGAAAAGAGCTTAAAGGTGGAAAGATGGCTCTTATAACTAGGATGGGTAGATGCGGAAAACAATCGTCACTGTGTGTGCTGTGTGCTCTGCATGTGTGGCCATTAAAGAGGATTTCATCCTCCCAATATTATATTATCTAGTGTGCAGCCGTTTGGCTGACACTTTTAAGCACCGGCCACGGTTACTTTTGTAGCTACGGTTCTAAGCCGTGTAAGTACTGGCCATAGTTACTACTGTAACTGCGGTTATATGCTGTGTAAGTACTGGTCATATTTTACTACTGTAACTACGGTTCTATGCCGTGTAAGCACTGGCCATAGTTACTACTGTAACCACGGCTCTGTGCTGTTCTCTTCTTTGGAAGCTAGTTATCTGGTCTTAAACATTTGTGTTATTTATTTGACTTGATCTCGCTTGATTGTTAGCAGCAGCCGCTTGGCTAACAGCTTGCATGTACTGTTAAGCTTCATTATTTAACTCAGCTGGTGAAGGCAGTGCTCTCGCTCCCGCTCCCGGTAACGTATTGTTTTGATTGTTAGCAGCAGCCGCTTGGCTAACACAGGGCTGCCAACATTTGAGTTCAGCTTGGAGTGAGATCTTTTTTTTTTGGTGAACCGAAAAAAGAAACGTCCATGTGTACAGTGTTACAAATGTATTGAACAAGTACAAACTAGGGTTTCCCATTATTGTACCGGGCGCTACAGTGGAGTACGCACATACACAGTGTACCCGCGACTCTTACAATGAAGGCTCGATAATCAGCTCACAGCATATAAAATGGCATATAGGTGTAAGCAGAGGTAAAGTGCTATTTTATAAGTGGGGGTGGTCCTCACCTCCTCTAGGGGGGTCCGGGGGCATGCTCATATTTTTTTAAATATTGAAGTTAAATGAATCAATCTGGTGCATTTTGAGAGCAAAATGAATTTAAGGATACATCTCTCAACACCCATATGAAACAGAACTTTAAACAGATTTTCTTTTTCTTTATGGATATTTTACAAATCACTCACCTTTTAAACTGTATTCTTGTTTTACTGTCATATAGTATTTCATAACTGTTTTTCATTTATTCTCATAAATGGTGACCAAACCGTTTGAGACCCACTGAGATAACTAGACTAAAGTTAACTAAACACTAATCTAAACACTCAAGAGTCCCTTACCTCACTGAGCTGTAGTTATATCTCTCAGTCTGACAGGACAGAGCTCTCCCTCTCCTTGTTTTAGAAACAGCTTCTAATATCTGTTAGCGCAGCTAGCTAACCAGATGCTAACAACAACAATGCAAATAGTGAGTTTGGTAGAAATATACTGTATAATAGTAAAGTTATTTAAGATGATGCCATATTTGAAGATTTTACATTATAAATATTCCCCAAAATTATTCAAAAGCATATTCTTCCAAACTCCTTGCTGTAGTATGACACACAGGAGACTATTGATGTGTGTGGTGAGTTTGGTAGTAATAAGCTGTATAATAGTGAATATTATTGTATTCTCTTTTTTCGGAGTTGCACTTTGCAGACGGTCCCTGAGCACTCGTTTCTTCTCCGGCTGCGGATAGAGACCAATGTAATGTGTCCAGCTCGGAGGACGGCGCATATTGTTTTTTTTTTTATCAAAATGTGATTGTAGTTCTTTGTCAACCTTACCACGGTACTTAGGAGACGTCATTTGTGTCTGAATAACGTTTTGTTCATGAGTTATTGATCCGTGAAATCAGAATCTCCCAATATCGTTCCAACTTTACTGAACTAAGCCAGAAGACTGTCTCATTTCGTAGACGGCTCGGTTTGCTGTTCCTTCACTTTATTTTTATATACATTTATTTTGTACGAAAACTTAGCGTGAGGAAAGGCAAGTGTGGCGTGAGTGCGTAAGATATGGGTTAATTGCGTGACTCTCACGCTCAATGCGTGAGTGTTGGCAGCTCTGGCTAACATCTTGCATGTTTTGTTAAAGCTTCTTTATTTAACTCATCCAGTGAAGGCAGTGTTTTTCGCCCCCGCTCCTGGTAGATGTGCTGCTTGATTCTTAGCAGCAGCCGCCTGGCTAAGCTGCCCCGTTAAGCTTCTTTATTTAATCCAGCTAGGTGAAGGCAGTGCTCTTGCTCCCGCTCCCTCTGCTAGTAACGTGGGTGTAGGTCATTCACATCCCTCTCTGTGTTCGGCGAGTAGGAGCATTACTCTACTCTTTCCGTTCAGCAAGTAGCCGGTGAAGGCTGTGTTCTCGCACCCGCTCCCGGGTACGCTGCACCTGGCATTCGTTATGAACTCATCCAGTGAAGGCAGTGTTTTTCGCCCCCGCTCCTGGTATACGTGTTGCTTGATTCTAGCAGCAGCCGCCCGGCTAAGCTGTCCTGTTAAACTTCTTTATTTAATCCAGCTAGGTGAAGGCAGTGCTCTCGCTCCCGCTCCCTCTGCCGGTAACGTGGGTGTAGTTACATCCCTCTTTGTGTTCGGCCAGTAGGAGCATAGCTCTACTCTTTCCGTTCAGCAGGTAGCTGGGGAAGGCTGTGTTCTCGCACCCGCTCCCGGCTACGCTGCATCCGGCTACCTACATAATGGCTCATTCATGTAGCGCCTGTATGGCTTCTCTTGAGCCCGAGGACGGCCATGACCGCTGCCCTCCTCTGCTTTGGCCTTGAGCATTTGAGGGAGGGTCTCACGCAAAGCGCCTGCATGAGCCGTAGCTTCATGCCTCGGGCGCTCAGAGTGGCTAGAGTCGCAGAGGTTGCACCTCTCCTCGTCACAACTTCCTCCAGCTCAGTCTGGCCGTTCCCGGCGACTTGATGGAGTGATGGCTATGGGTTCACCCCCCAGGTAGAGGACTAGAAACAGGCTGTCCTCTAAGGTGGATCGGTTAGCTGCCGTCATGGAGCAGCTGTTCCTCCTTCAGAGGAGTACCTGAGGGAGCTCCATGCATGCTGGAGAGACACCAGGGCCCTCTCCCACTCTGCTGCCATGCAGGATCTGGCGAGGGTGGGGCTGGGTCGCTTGCCATCCATTGTGCCTGCCATCGCCTCCCCGATTCTGGCTCCTGATGCCAGGTGCCCTCGGCCTCAGTGCAGGGTCACAAACGAGCTGCTCTGTAAGGCCTACGACACAGCGGCACGGGAACTCCCTCTCCCATCTGATGCTGGCTGTCTCTACCTCTCTGCAGCAGGCTCCGGCTGAGCCTTCTTTGCTGGGCCTCAGTGATGCATCACTGTAAGCCTTTGCCCTAATGTCTAGGGAATTGGGACGAGTTTTGCCCTTATTGGTGCAGACTCGCCACCAGGTTTGGCCTGCTCAGTCACCACTGTCGGAGACATGTCCTCCGTAGTGTGCCAGTCGAGCCAGGGGAGCTGTTTGGGGCAGCTGCCCTGTAGGCACTGGAGCGTGCTGCCCAAGCTAGGCAGACCAGGCAGCAGCTCTCGGGTCTTCATAGGCCTGTGCCCACTCCCAGCAGGCCCAGGGGCCCCTCCGGCAGCCGCACTCAGCTACCAGCTTACAGTGGTGGTCTGCGCAGGTCCCAGCGGCCCACTCATCCGCCTCCCGGGGGCTTTCGTGCCCCCGGCCGCCGGCCTTCTAGGCAGCCTCGTGCCTCAGAGCCTTCCCGGCGCCCCCCAGGGGCTCCGGAGGCCGGGGGGTTAGGCCCCGAGACTCTCGGGGCCGGTCGTCGGCTGCTTTCCCAACAGCAGCTCAGTTACTGGGCTGTCTGTACTTCCGGCCCTTGGGTGGTTTTCACCTTAACCCAGGGGTACGAACCGCAGTTCCGGCCCCTAGCCTTCGGCCGGGCCAAAATGACAGTCGTCAGCGATCCGGCAGAGGCCCTAGCTCTGGCCCAAGAGTTGTCCGTCCTTCTGGCCAAGGACGCAATCGAGCCAGTAGACCCTCTGCTTAGCCCAGGGGGTTCTACTCAGCGTACTTTCTCGTGAGCAAGAAAGTCGGCGGATTTCGCCTGATCTTAAACCTCAGAGGAATCAACAGATTCCTGAAGGTGCTGCCATTCCATATGCTGACTACAGCAGATGCACAGGGGGAGTGGTTCGCAACCGTGGACTTGAGGGATGCCTACTTCCAAGTGGGCCGGGCAAGATGGTGCCTTATATTCAGTTCCTCCGGCCCTTGGGCAGACTGACAGCTGCCTCGGCCGTTGGGCCCTTAGGCACGCTGTCGTTGCGCCCCATGCAGATGTGGCTGAACAGCCTTCACTTGGACGCCAAGTGGCACAGGCACAGGAAAGTCAGGGTGTTGCAGCGTTGCCTCCACTCTCTGTCACGCTGGAGGGGCAGGGCCTATCTCCTGATGGGCGTGCCCATGGGCGCCATCCCATCCCGCCAGGAGACCGTCACCATAGGTGCATGTCTATCAGGGTGGGGTGCAATGCGGCAGGGCAGGACTGTTCAGGGTCAGTGGTCTGCCCAGGAGGGTGCACGCCATGTCAACGTGCTAGAGCTTCGGGCTGTGCAGCTTGCACTCACGCACTTTCTACCCCAACTGGGGGGCAAGCATGTGCTTGTTCCTTGGGACAGCATGTACACTGTTGCCCAGACAGCAGTCCCTTCTAGATAGTGGACGTTCTCACTCCACTCAGAGTTTATGTGGCTGCTATTTGTGCCCGACATGTTCGGGTCGACGGCGCCACGGCGGGGTGCCTCAGGTCGGTGTCCCTCTTCCTGAAGAGGGGCTTTACGGCAGCGTCCCCCTAGCACCCCGAGGGCTCCGGCTTGGGACCTGCCCCTGCTGCCGGATGCCCTATCATCTCCTCCCTTCGAGCCCCTGTCCCAGATGGGGCTTAGGTGGCTGCCCACGAAGGCAGCATTTCTGCTTGCCATAGCCTCAGGGAAGCGAGTTGGGGAGTTGCATGTCCTCTCCATAAACGATACATGCCCGAGGTGGGACTCTCAGGTGTTGCCCTTTGGGCAAATGTGGCATCCACATGTGTGCTTCCACAAACCCACTTCAATCAGCCTGCCCAGCTGGCACGCTTTGACATTCAGGAGAACGGCACGTCGAAGTTGCTTTGCCCTGTGGGTGCCCAAAGGGCGTATATCGAGGCTACTGCCTGTATACGGCAGTCGGAGCAGCTCTTGATTTTGCCATGGCGGCACTAAAGGAGGTTGTGCCCTCTAACCAGCGGCTGCCCCACTGGGTTGTCGATACCATCCCACATGCCTACGGGGCCAGTGGCCACCCCCCTGCCATCAGGGCTGAGACGCCACTCTACAAGGAGCATCTCAACATCTTGGGCTTCCCTGAGAGTGGTGCCCTTGGAGACCATCTGCGCCGCGGCGTCGTGGGCGTCTTCTGGCACATTCTCCACTTTTTATCGGGTTAATGTCGCCACTCCCCATTCTTTGGCCGTGGTCCTTTGGCCGAGCTCCGCTGCTTCCAGTAAGGGCTTGGATTCTTCATGACATGGTTGGTATAGGTCATCCAGTGCTAAAGCACCGCCTCTGGCGGTCAGTAGGGACGAAATAGAACGATAGTTACGGCTGTAACTACGGTTCTATGAGTCCCGGATGACCGCCAGAGTTTCCTGTCACTCAGAATTCTTGTGTGCTCGCGAGAAGATTCTGGGAGCCGATCTGCTAATGACGCCGGCCTATGTAGCCGTCGTCACGTGGGTCACAGGTGACTTTGTTGTTATTAGGTACTCGAACTGCGCATGCGTGCGATGGATATATCCAGTGCTAAAGCACCGCCTCTGGCGGTCATCCGGGACTCATAGAACCGTAGTTACAGCCGTAATTATCGATTCAAATGAAACACTGGTAGTGGTTGGTTTAAGAGTATGATGCTGTAGTAATGATGTATTCTGTCATATGAGCATCAGCAGCTCAGAGTGGCTCCTTAACCATTTATGACGCTTAGGTTCTTATTTCTATCTTAATGTGTACACAAATAAAACACAATACGATTTTGTTTCGTAAAAATCTTCCAAATGTTCTGTATGAACTCTTCAAAGTTAAATGTTCAACAAAACACAGAACCAGCAGATAAGCAGCAAGGACAAAGGGACAGAGACAAAGTGGCTCATGCACATTTAAAATGTTTTGCCCCTACAGCCATGATGTTGATTTTGGCTTTACAGAAGTGCAGGTTGATTATTTTTTTTAAAACACAAAACTTCTCAATATGATCCTTGCATTCTTCATGAGGGAACATTTCAGACACCGTCACGCATCTGGAAGAAATCCACATTCAGTTTGAGACAACCAGAAAGAGGAAATGTGTTGTACGCTGCAGGACAGAGGAGCGGTGTGTTTGTTACTCTTATTATGACTCTATATTCCATCATTGACCCCACCGTTACAAGCAGTTCAAAGCAGTTTCCTATACTTTGTGTCTGTGTTCATAGTTTTGGCTGTTGTTTGGTTTTGATAGGATTGTTCTCATTGACAAATTGCCGGGATAATGACTCATCCGAGAACACGAGCAGTCACAACTCCAGGTTATTTTAAGAAGGTCAACGTTGAGGCACCAACTTTTTACTGTTGATCGTGTATGTTTTATCTTCCAAAGGAGTTAAGCATTGTTGCTGTGTTTACAGAAGTTACAGCTGTACCACGTCCAACACAGTCTACAATGTTTGGTTAAAGGAATGAAGGCCAGAGAATAGTTGTTATACTTATCTGAACTTCTTATCTCTGTACTTCAGCGTCTGAGGCGGTCTACCCCAGTGTGTTTTCTGTCATTTTGTATGTGTCTGTTATGGAACTCTATGAGCATTACTATCTGTGCTCTCCATGTACAGCTACCGGACTGTCAAACACATAGAGTCTCACAGTGAGGTTTTATGATTTTTAAGATTAGTTGTAATTATTATTTTTAATTTGTCTCTATACCTCTTCTTTATTAATCTTATTATATTTCTTGTGTTTCCGGTCTCTCGTTGCAGCCGTGCTACCAGAAGGCCCGGCAGTGGCTGCTGGATAACATTCCCTCCGTCCTGGTGTTTGGAGTGTGTATCGGTGTTGTGCAGGTACTTATAATGAGTACACATGTTTATTCTTGATCTCTATATCTATGCTAAAGAAATGGGAAATACTCCAGTCACAGCACAGCTCAGATTCTGCAGAGTTTGCTTTGTTAATAAATAAATAGCAACATTACACATTGCCACGTTTTGAAGGAAGATTTTGTTACATGTTTAACATCATTTAAATATGGCAAACTATACAATGTAGAATGTGTCGGTGAAGACCCATAAACCTGTGTGAGCTCTTTTCCCCTCCACATCTTTAAAGACTCAGAGCTGGAAAAGACCCCCAAATCCTCTTCATTCCAGGGTTAAACAAAAATTGTAGATTTTATTTACAGGAAACTGATTCTCAAAACAGAAAAATGCAGAACGGCAGTAGCCTGTGATTTGGCTTCACTTTATCCCACTGTCATGTTGTTAGAGTTGCCGTGGGGACAACACGTCTTGTCTGTTAGTGACCTCAGTGAACGGGATCTATAACAGGTTTGAACTCTCCTCTCTCAGATCCTGGCCCTGGTGTTCTCCATGCTGATGTACTGTCAGATCCTGTGCGCTGAGAAACATTTGGACTGAGTGCAGAGGGGAAGACTGATCACAAACACCGCCAGCCTGATTCGAGGTGTCCACCCCCGCCTCAGGACTGTGTGGGTCACAGCAGACATGGCTGCATCTCAAACGCCCCAGAGCATCGGCTTGAACATTCCCAATTTCAACAAAAAACGACTGAACGATGGCAGTAACAGACTGAAGAGTTGTTGTTGTACCAGCTTTATAAATATGGTTTCATTTTAGATCCATCAGCCTCCAGACAAAATCTGCAATAACCATAATGCATTGCAACTGCAGAGGAACCGGGGGGAAACACTGGCTCTAAGATCCTCTTCAAATTCAAGAAAAATAATCTGTGTCTGTATTTTACAATATTTGGTTTCCAGAGTTGCTTCTTTTAGATTGTTGTCATGAACAGGAAATAATAGTGTGACACTTAAAAGGTCATAAAACAGCAGTATGCCTGCTAGAAAGGCTTTGGGAGGAGGAGAATAAGAACAAAATCAAATAAAACATTTTTACGTAGCACTTAGTTCACTTTGCTAATAATTCATGCCTTGAATATTAAACCTTAACCATATAAGCACTTTGATCATGTAGTGTAGTTTAGCCATTTTAAAGTTTTACATTTATTTGGTATCTAATGATTACAGCAAAACATATTATTAATACTTTTACATGTGTTTTAGCAAAACAGTAAGATATTATGCCTTTTATAATCTTGAGAGTTTTTGAATCTTATGGTAATCTTCTCTACTGTTTTTAAAGATTTTTTTGCATTTCCATTGAACTAACAGTGTGACCTGTTGTGAGTGCTCGGTCTCTTGATGATCTGCAAACAATCCAAATGAAACCTGAGGCGTAGATTTGACCGAGCTGAATCCATTCGTGTGGATGTTCCCGACTTAAATAAACGTAACACAAAAAGTATGGAAATCTGTGTTGGGTAGATTATTTCTTTGTTGTAACAATGCTTCTTGACAGTAAATCTTATAACGTTGCAAAGCCTGTTTATTTACCATGGTGCCACATTTATGAGGAACATTTGTGGGATGAGCAGCAGAGCTGAGTATGTGGGTTGAAAAATGTGACAAATCTCCTCTGCCTCTCTTGACTCTTGTTTGGTGTTGTTTGGTGGATTGGATGATTGAAGTCTGATGAATCAAGACATATTGGCAACAATTTATTTATGAACAATGTATTCATTTAACCAGGAGCCTCAGTAGCGTGTGGAAGAACCAAACACAGCCACAACAGCCTCTCCTCCTCATGCTGGTCACCAGCCTGCTCACACTGCTGTGGGATGGCATCCCATTCTTCAACCAGCATTTGTCTCAAGTGAGCCAATAGGTGCGTTCACACCGGAGTACTTTGGTGTACTTTTCCCACAATAGTTCATCAGAACTACGATATATTTGCGTTCACACCAAAAAGCCCCAGGAACTAAAGTAGCTCAAATTAGTTCGTCCGACCCGCTTTTCAGTCCCTGCTAGAGAGCAGGGACTGTCGTGGGAGAAAGTAGTTTGTGGCTGTGCGGAATGCAAACCACGCCCGTTTGACTCTGAATTTTTTGTTGTAAGCGGCCATTGTATTTGCTCGCTTTGGGCAGCGCACCCAAAGAGATTACTTTTGTGAAAGCAGTTATTATAGCAACAATAAATAAATCAATTGGAGCGGTGGAGTGATGAGGATGTGTCTGCGCTTCTGGCGATTTACTCGGAGGACGCATTCAGAAGCTTCTACTGAATGCAGTTTCCGTGGCTCAGCAAAGTTAGCAGACCTGGCAAAGTCATGTCGGGACGACTACGAAGGTAAAATAAAATACATGCACTGCACTGTTTTAATCTGCACAATACTGGTCTTAGATGTACTTTTATTTGCTCAGTAGATCGAGCTAGCCATGCTAGAACTTGCTATAATAGGTCCAAGCTGGCTAACAACATCTAGCTAGCTAGCTATTCTCAGCCGTCCCCGCTATGAACACGTTTTGACTTGTGAATAAGTGTGCAATGTTCTGTAATTTGCTTCACTAACTCATGGCACTAATCGTGTGTTTCAGGCGAGGTGTTTCTCTCAGGATTAGAAACTAGTTTTCCCCTCCGGGATAAAACGATAATATAACGTTAGCAATTAGCATGCTAGCTGGACATAATGCTACCTAGTTGCTATAATTCGCGTCGGGCTCCTGATCAGCCTGTCGGTGTTCTTTTCCCCATAATGACCGCGTCGCTGCACATTATCCCTTACTTCAGTCAGACAACTCATGTGTTTCTTGACATGTTTATTAAGCAGCATATAGTTTGAGTTTGGCGTCTAGGCTCGGGCCTCATCACTCAACATATGTATATCTGCCCCCCCGAGCCTACAGGCGGATGCTGGGGTGGAAGCTGGGGTGGTGGTCGGGCAGGCGAGCAGCAGCAACATGAACGCAGCAGCAGCAAGTGAACGCAGCAGCAGGAACATTTTCATAGGCATTGCAAAAGAAGTGCAATGTGCAGAACATTGCATAACAAAAAAGTCACATTTATTTCCCCCTCCCTCTTTAACAGACACACACGCTCAATGAGCGACACAACAGATAAACGCACTTACTCAGGTAACCTGGCTCTCCATGGCTGCTGTCCGTGGAGCTGATTTTGTGTGCGTAAACAGCTGCAATAAAGCAACTACACTGACACATGAAGCTAAATACAGGCCAGCAGGGCCCAGAAAGCAACAGAGCCACATCAGAAACTACACACACGGCTAACATACAGTTCAGTAAAGAGCAACGCCACAGTAAAGGAGGTATGTATTTCACTCCAACTGCATCACAAGGCCTCGCTCAACAAAAAGCAATTTTGGATTTTGGAATATTGAAGAAAACAAGATATTTAGCAAACAAACGTTTATGATACTTACACGTTTTGTTCAGCAGGATAATCTCTACATATTAACACCACTTTATAATGATGAAGATTATACATAATCGGCAGAAAAATAAGCATTAGGCTATAAAGAAAACGACATCATACATTGCATGACGTTTCCACCGCTAAGCTAAGGGTGGCTAATGTTTGGCGTGATGACTTTTAGTAGTCTCATTTAGTCACCTGGTCACTTATGAGACATTGAACCTTCAGACGTTCACCAGTGGGATATTGACTGACGTATTTTATGCTGCAGAACAAAACAAAAACAGCTTGTGTTAACCACAGTAGCTGTTTTAGGCTTATAACCAAAAACACGTTCACAAATCGCTGTCTTTGAGGGAAGGAAACAGGTGGTCAAATGCTGACTCCTTTCTGGGTTTGAGGAGTCATTCCTCACAAATCTACAGAGGCTGTGATTGTAGGACGCTGTGCTACTGCTGACGCTGTTTTTTTACTTTGTATTAATCAATCCAAACAAAACATACGTTTTTTTTTATCCACAGCAGGCGTACCTGAAGAGTCTGCAGAGCCACAGCGTGGTGTCAGACAGGATCCGGTGGTCAGCTTCCTCAGTCTCTCTCTGTCCAGCACAGAGATGTAGGCTGCCAGGCTGTGACCCAGGAGGGCCAAAGAACTGTACTTATAAAACAATTTTAACTTTAAGTTTTCTAAAGGTGTATCATTTTTAAAGTGTTTCAGTGTGCTTGCCTGAAGGAACTTCTGGACCTGCAGAAAATCTAAATGTATTTGATGAAAAACGTCAGGATAACCTCTTTATGTCCCTCTGTTCTGACTTATTGTTTCTAAACTGAGAATTTTAGAAGGAACAGGATATTCTTAATAAGGAGAAAAAATGAACAGCTTTAGAAAAAAATTATAATATAGCAGATTATCATGGGTCATTTGGGATTTATTTTGTATTTTGGGCTATATAGCTTTGGAATATCCCAGGAGACGTGACAGGATAATGTGTTATGTGAGGGACTGCGGATGGAAATTAGCTCAAAGGTAAATCTGGCACTGTTACGCTTGACACATTTGAAAGTTTTAAGTGTTCATTACTGTGCATTGTCCCTGCCAAATAAACGATTAAATGAAATGAAAAAAGGAGAACTCATTTGCGCAATGTGGCAATTAAACGATTGTTGTGTATTGTTTTTTTACTGTTTTAAATATGTCTTATATATGTTTTTGTGACTGTGCATTTTTGATTGGTGTTGCTATTGGTAACACATGGATTGGAATGTCATGAATACATTCTGTAGTTCTAGAAGTCCTACAACAGAGAGAGAGTTCTATCTCAGTTCTAACACAGTCACACTGCAGTTTGAGACAGGTTCAGTTCAGACTTACTCTCCACAGTGAACACTTCACAGAGATTATCTGCACAAAACTACAGACACTGTATTACAACCCTCTTACTGAGAAAACCCATAGACAGAAAGCTCAGAATAAGAGAACAGAAAGACAAAGTCAACCAAACTGAAAATGCCTGAAAACAGGCAGGTAAGTGAAGGCATTTTAAAGAGGCTTAAACTGGTTTGGAGATTACTTGGCACGGTTAAAAGTCTATAAAGAGTGATGAAGACATTATTAGTGACGTAAATAGCCTTTAGTGAGTTTTAGGGTGAGATTAAGGACATGTGGAAAAAGATTTACAGCCATGATATCTGAACAAACAATGTAACAGCAAATATGTGTTGATGTAGCCTAAGGCATGTTAAGTATAAAAGAACAAGGGTGAAGCTACACTATTTAAATTTGTATCACAAAGTAATCTAAACATCTTACAGCTAAATTAATTGTATTTATACAGCAGATAATATATCAAGTAAACTTAATACACTTAGTCTAAATATAAGCAAGAAGAAATGAAAGTCGTCCATCCACGAGAACATGCAACATGTTGTTGTTTGTCCAAAAATCACATATTATGCTTACAAGTAAATGAAAACAAGCAAGAACACTGTTTTACATCTCCACAGATTCCTCATTCAGACAACATGGGCAAGGAAGAGGAGAACATTGAAGAAATCTCCATCTCTCCTGCGTTTTCAGACCCATCAGGTCACATTACTGAATCTGAAATTCTTGACCAGACTCTTGTGTATCTTGATGATCTCATGAATCGTGATGATCTTATGAAAGATAAAGAGGTCACCAGCCCATGGTCCTATTCAACCATGAGCGATGACAGCATGGGAGACACTTGGTGTTTCGACAATGATTCAGACATCTCAGATATGATCGCACGAGTTGATCGGGATCTCAACAAGGTCATTTCTGAAGTATGCCACAGCTACTTGTTTCCAGAAGATCTGGAGACAGAGGCGGATGGTTTTGAAGAAACTGACAAGCCTCTGCAGGACACTGATCCTGCTAATACACTGGAGGTCCCAGAGCCTTCCAAGCAAGTAGAGATTCCAGAGCTTACCAAGAACCTGGAGGTCTCTGAGCCTCACCAGACACTGGAGGTCACTGAGCCTTTCAACACAATGGAGGTCCCTGAGTCTCCCAAGAACCTGGAGGTCAGTGAGCCTCACCAGACACTAGAGGTCACTGAGTCTACTAAGACACTGGAGGAAGAGGAGAACATGGAAGAAATCTCCATCTCTCCTGCGTTTTCAGACCCATCAGGTCACATTACTGAATCTGAAATTCTTGACCAGACTCTTGCATATCTTGATGATCTCATGAATCGTGATGATCTTATGAAAGATAAAGAGGTCACCAGCCCATGGTCCTATTCAACCATGAGCGATGACAGCATGGGAGACACTTGGTGTTTCGACAATGATTCAGACATCTCAGATATGATCGCACCAGTTGATCGGGATCTCAACAAGGTCATTTCTGAAGTATGCCACAGCTACTTGTTTCCAGAAGATCTGGAGACAGAGGCGGATGGTTTTGAAGAAACTGACAAGCCTCTGCAGGACACTGATCCTGCTAATACATTGGAGGTCCCAGAGCCTTCCAAGCAAGTAGAGATTCCAGAGCTTACCAAGAACCCGGATGTCCCTGAGCCTCCCCAGAACCTGGAGGTCACTGAGTCTCCCAAGACACTGGAGGTCCCTGAGCCTCCAAA